AAAAGAACTACTTGAAAACGTCGGCTCACAAAAATATGCCCCCAGGGCATGGATCTAAAATTTTTAATTTCTCCTGAACTCATCGTCTCGGTAGGCACGCCCATGCCAGGTTTCAGCTTTCCATGTCTCTCCGTTTTACTCAAGCAAAAATAATGTTATGGTGGGGGAATGAGTAACGGGACATGGAAGGCAAAAAAAGCCAAATGAAAGCCAAGGAATGGCCGAGAATTGAACCCGGACTTTCCGATTGCCAGTCAGAGATGCTACTACTACACCACCGAACCCAGCACACCCAGTTGACTTTCTGAATGCAATCCTCATCTGTCACAAAATATATTCAAGAAAAACTTTCCCCAAAAAAATTTGTACCCCCAGGGCATGTACCTCCAAAGTGGGATTTTTGCTGAACTCTGCATTCCAAAAGGTACATGTGTACCAAGTTTCAGATTTCTGACCCTTCTAGAACATGGTTAGAATTGGCGTCAGTCAGTCAGTCACGATCGTCTATAAATATTAGATGCAAGTTCAACTTGCATGGAAAGGTCAACTTGCATACGACAAGCGACGTTGCGTACGACAACTTGCATACGACTTGCATACAAATCATATAGAATTATTCTAGGATCCTATGGCATAGGCGCTTGACTGAAGTGCTGCGGGTTGCTCAGTCCTGCAATCAGTCGCGCATGCACAGTCGCTCATTATAAGAAACAAGGTACTGACCGAATCAGTTAATCACATCTCTCCTTCCTAGTGAGAATGCCCACTATTATATCAGTGATGATGTTGCCATCAACCAGCAGAAAGACATGAGTCGATTGCGGTCACTTCAGTTGCGATTGAACTTCGCATGTAGATATAAATTATGTCTGTGATTAGGAATCAGATCCCTATCTATCATAGGAACTTTCTATCATAGGATTGATGAAAATGTGAAAAATAGTTACGATTGCAATTCAATTGCGTGATCTGATTTTAATCGACCCGTTCCTGCCTTGAACAGATGTATGAATAGCATACAGTTTCTAACGTGTATCAGTGCCTCAAGGCACGTCATTTGCGTCCCAACCACCAAGAGGCTCTCTCTGTTATTGGCACAGTGAGATCTCACCTCAACTCAAATTGCGCGTATAAACTGAACTCCACAACTAAAGCCAAAAGCCATCCGATTTCTGTTTCGGTGGTCATCACTGTAGTAAGTTTCGTCTTAATTTTAATAGAGCGATGAAATCAGAGTGAGTATAATACATTTTCAAAATGTATTGTTCATCTGATATAGAATGACCCTATAATTGCTTCTTCGGATTCTTACTCATCTAATGCTTTTGTGTTAATCAGTCACTCACTGAGGACATGGGGAGTTACCCACAATATTATCCTAATGGGGGAGGGTCTGATGATCAAGGAAAGACTTTCTAAAGAACTTTTAAAAATTAATCAATCTAGATGTGTTGGCTCATTCAAATGAACCGCTTGTATTATTCTATTGCCCTCTTGTGGAACAGTGTTGAATTTCATCGAACTTAAACCTAATCCTGGTTAGTGCCGAGTTCTGGATTGTTCAAGCAGTAATGCAAGAGCATAAGCTATGCCTATGAAAGGAATTACACTCACTGCACAGGCCAGTGAAATCTGGCACGAATCCGATGAAGCATGTACATGTAGTATTTCCTTCGCCTGTGCAGTTCGAATGACTCACGCATGCAGTCGTGTTTGCACATGTCCCTCCCGCTGGCAGTTCTGCATGGAGGAAGATCAAATGTCCTTTCCAAACAGCTCACTCTGAGCGAAGGTGACATATCCAAGAAAATGTTGAACGTCATCGCTTCAGAAGTGGTCTCCTATTTTGCTCATGGACTCATTTAAGTCATGGGGAGATTGAACGTCACTTCTTCATGCACTAAAAGCAACTCATTGAAGATAGATCAATTATTTAACCGCAAAAAAATCAGGCAACATTTTAAACCAGTGTTAAATGCAGTTAAATGTTTGGTTTCATGGTTTCTCTTTTATTTTTAATTTAGTTACACATTTGAATGTCGAATACAGGTAAATAAGACGGTGGCACTCATTTTTCTATCATTAGTATTTAATAAACATTTCCAAGTGATCGTGATTGCAATGGTGATGGCACGGTAGATTTGCTTCACTGGTCGACAATAGGGCCATAAACTGGGTATAATGGTGCAACACATTTTATTATTCATCATGCGTTTGCACCTTCCTGTGATGTTCTGAGGTGCTTGATGGCTGACCATTGGCGTCGCAGGAGAGAGAATACAGAAGATTCGGTGGTGGGGTCCTGAACCAGTTTTTGTTTTTAACATCGGCCTCTGCCCACGCCCGTTGCAAACTTTCTCCTGGGGTGACGTTCGATGCCAGGAGAGATTCCGCTTCGGTCCAGAAAGGCCGACGGGACTTGAGGCGATCTGGTGCCATAGGCTTCAGATATTCGTGAATCGGAAGCGATGGTTGGGCGATAAACTTCCGGTACTCGCGCAATGTTGCCGCTTCTCTCCGTATCTTTGGAGGATCGATGTGCAAGAGTAATGGAGCCAGAGTAGAGAGGTGGTCTCTAGAGTGCCTACGCATTCGCTGCAGGAATTTCTGAGGGCTGACCTGACAGCCCTTTCAGTGTGGCGGCTTGCGGCAGTCTTTGAGTTAGTAACACAGCCACGATGTTGTCGACCGTCTCTTTTGGAGGTCGGAACTCGATCGGCGGTGTTCCCCCGAGGTACCATGGGAGCTTCTAAGCTTTACGACATGAGTGCGTAAAGTCAAAGCTCTCCATAAGCTCGGTCCATCTTGACCGTCTGGTGGAGTCTAGAGACTCCTGAAGAGCAGTCGCGATGTTTGGATCTCCTCTCTGCTGGTGCTCCCTTAGGAGCGCTTCGGTTTCAGTGGACCAGCACGGGGCGTAAGACCTACGGTGGCCGAGGGTCTTCCTCTCAGCAGACATAAGAAACGCAGCGCAGCGTTAAAAAATTTCCTGTTTGGCGCCGGAGTGGCGGATGTTTTGACGGCAGCCGTAAAGGCAGGCCAGTCTGCTCGCCGGAAGTTCCAGCGCGGTAGTGGTGCGCTGGTAACGCTTGGGATTTCATTGTCAATATGGACGATCACAGCTCTGTGTCGGCTTTGGGGAAACCTGCATAGGTCTTTCCGCGACGCAGGTATAAGGGTTCCTGTTGAGTTTGTGGACGCAAAGAATAGGTTAGGGGTATAATCTCTATTCCAGCGGGCAGAGTGGAATGAGCCTCTCTTTTTAGGATCGAACAAGAGGAAGAAGTCATGCGCTTGACGCTCATTCGGTGATTTTCTCGCCCGCGGAGTCGTTTGCCGGACAGCCCCACTCAGTACGGTGGCTATTAAAATCACCAAAGGTGGACTGGCTGATGACGTGCTGCCAGTACTGAGGATGGTCATGCCTAGGCGGGTGACTTTTATGCATAGCATTTTTGATCGCCTTAAAAGTTAAAACCTTAAAGTTTTCAACCCTTAAGCGCATGTTTCAGTCTGAGATCGTTAAGAGTAATGCAATGCGATTCTTACATGAATCTTCCAGGCCGTGAGCTTTCCTAAAGTGAAAGTGAGAGTTTTTACCGCAATTCAAAGTGAGTTAGAGCTTCAGTGGCTACATGATTACCTTCTTAGTCGTTTGGTGAGGTTTTTTCATACTTAACGTAGCGGCTTCCTGGAATACACCAAAACTTTTTCAGAGAATTCATACATATATTATTTGATAGCATATTTACAATTTGCCTGTTGAGTTATGCTGATTACTAGATAATGAATATCACTCACTGCACAAACTAGTAAGGTCGTCCGCCACCAATCCTCCATAACATGTACAAACACTACCTTCTCCTGTGCAATTGGAATGACTCACGCACTCTGGTGTACTTGAGCAAGAGCTTCCTGCTGGCAGTTCTACATGAGGAAACAACAAATAACCATAATAGATCCAGTAACTCAGAATCATTTCGAGCGAGGATGGTGTTTCTCGAGGCTTACTTGGTTTGGGTTCATACGGATTTGATAATGTTTTAAGTATGCATAGCTAATCATTGAGAATATGTTCCAGAGCTCAAAATATTAACCAAACTCGTCCACTAGTGAATCGAGTCTCTTGTGGTTTTAGCAAAGCTTTCTTTTGATGCTTTTTTAATTATCGATAGAGCTCTTGTAGGTTCTTGTAGTTTCGCTTCGGTGTTTCATTTATTGGCAGGACAATGAAGGTTTTCCTTGATATAGTTAGAAGTGTGTTAAAATGGAGATTGCCATGATTTCAGAGCAGAATTTGTATATTCCGAAAACCCTTTTTATCTTTCCGAAAATATCTTTCTCTGGACTGAATGCCATCTCTCTTTCTCTGAAATTCCATCTCTCCACCTATCAAAGCAACAAATTTGAAACTCCTCTCTCTCAGGGCACGGGGGAAACAGGATATATATATTTTCAATTAGAATTAGATAACGGATTTACTCTTCCCTTCTTCCAGATTGATAGACGTTAAGGAAAATAAATATAATTGTGCCTGTTAGAAATTGCTTCCTCCTGAAACCGTATAAGCATAAGCAAAATGTATACATGATGTTTACATCTGTGTGGTTCATTGTTATCAATATGCTAAGAATATTCCTGTGATAACTTATTTTTTTTTATGTTTCCAACTTGAGCCTTTAGAAATGTTATTCAATCCCCAACCTTATCGTCCCATATGACCAAAATACTATAAATTACCAAGTACAAATGACCGAAAAAAAGAAGATATATGACCAAAAGAAAATAAAGACGATACTGACATTGTCAGAAAAGCATATTAGAGTGGTCTTGATAAAATTTTTGAAGCGAGCTCTTAGCGATGAGCCTTGAAACCAATGAGTTTCATGGGCCTATGATAAGTATTCACTGGGATAAACCTGACCAGAACTCGGATGAATAAACTCTAAGAAAAAAGGTTGGGATATTAGAAAGTCTCTAGAACGGGAGCAGACTCACTGCAAAGTTTAGTGATGTCATCCAGTGCGAATCCTCCTTTGCACGTGCATGTTGAATTATTGCCGTCTGACTTGCAGGTGGAATTATTCACACAATCTGAATCATTTGAACAGCTCCATCCCACTGCCACCTCTGTGTATGAAAAGAGATGAGTTATCTTTCAAATAAAATACATTGACTTATAAAAAGTATTGTCAATTATGTTGACTAATCCACACGCTAATGCAGATCGTGTAGACTTATTCATCATGATGTTCTAGTAAGGTGAACACCTGATCTCCATGTGGTGTATTTTTTCGCTTTTCAGCCATAACATGTTAGTGCATTTAGCATTTATAATATACAATGCATTGGAAGGTACGATGAATTCCACAGGTTAGGGACATTATTCGGCATAAATACCTTCAAGTACGATACGATCAGGTGCACCAGACTCTAGGGCTAAAGGTCCATGAAAGCGATGTATCTCTGAAATGTCAGCTAACACATCGTGCTTCTTTCCTTCCATACACAGGAATAACAATAATAAACCTTCAAATGCAAGCTTTGCTAAGCCTTTTCTTAAGATTAAGAATAAAAATTATATGGGAAATTCAGGCAGTCAAAATCAGTTTTTAGCTCCGAAACGAAAGATCGGAATACGATCGTTGGCCTCGAAAGCATGTCAAAACCAAGACAATTCTGATGAACCTTTTTTTTTTTTTACAAATGGTTACCTTCAGATTCTAAACGTTGAAGATATTATTTCAAGGGCTTGGTATCCTTCTCTGTCTCAGCTAACAGCCTTGTCGTCGAATATGTTCATAGCAAAAAGGGAACAATCATCGTGTTTATTGTGCGCATAAGGAAACGATGGGGAAGGGGATCCCTTCATGTATGTGCATGCTAGATCACTCTCATGTGGCGATGTTTATTTAGAATTAGGTACTCGCACAAAACTTATTACTATTACTGTTCCTTCCCACTGCCACCTATGCTTACTGTCAGTGGGCTAATTGTTATCAAAAGTATACCTTCATACTGAGGACAGGTTATAAGCAGTGTTGACGTGTTCATCGTGAAAAAGCAATTATGAAGCTGATAGACAAGAACCCAATCCAGAATACACGCTGAATAATGCGTTGTGAAACTATCTGAAGTTTTGAATGAATATTTTGAAGTGCTTACTGATAAAATTGGCTTAAAAAAAACTAGCTCAAGCCTTTCCCCTCAACGAGGGGAAAGGCTTGAGCTAATGGCCTGAAGGAAACACCCGGAACAGTATCCTTCATGACTTCTCATAGTGTATTTCCTTTGCGCAATTCTTGCTCTGTTAAGGTGATTGACAAAACGGATTCTATGAAGAATTGGTCACCACCAATAAAATGAAGTCAACTAATGTCGAACTGCTATGAGCACCTGCCCATGTACATGAATATAACTCACCTCCCTGCGTATTGCTTTTTTGCTGATGAACATATTTCTAGTATTTGTACTAGAAATAACCTTGATTGTATTTAAATTGTGGATATTTTTTGTGTTTCCGGGTCGTTAATAGGAGACAAGCCAGCAAATAGGAGCAATTATTGAAAATGCGAGAAAAAGTCTGAAAACTCACTGCAAATTCCAAACTCTTCAATAAACCCGCCCTCGCACTGACAGATGCCATCGCTGCACGTTGCATTGAAGTCTGCACAGAGTATCTCCTCAGTTGCGTTGCACTTTTCACCAAGACCCGGTTTATCTGAATTGAGAGTATATAATCTTTCAGTTGACACAGTTCATATCATAGCTGTTCAGAATAAGAACTGAGGGACTAATTTGTAAGTGTTTGAGGCCTCTTCAGGTATACATGAAAATACGTATTTCGTGCATTCTGGAGGCTTCAAAATGAAATATATATATTTGAATAGGCATTTTCATGAATAGGCTTCTTTTTAGTTCATTTAGGTGCTCAAATTCTTCTTGAAAATATTTTGCCGAGCAAGCAAGGCCTCTTTCAGAGCCTCTGTCTTGTAAGTCTTGATCTGGTCTTTCAAGGAGTCATATTTGTCCTAATGATGTGCCTCGTAATGCCACATAATGTTATATTCCTTGAACATCGAAACGCTCTTGTTACAGACAAGACAAACGGCCTCATCTATGCACTGCACAAACAAGTAATCGTGTGTCTACTGGTCGCTGAACACTCCACGCTCGAAGTCAACTTTTTTTGTTGTTGCTGTTTTTGACAGCGACGTGGCCGAAGGGCAGGTTCACAATAAAACTGAAATTGAAAACGTTCACCAACACACCAGCCTCCAAAAGCCAAGAAAAGTACAGCACGACTAACACTTCCCCCCCTCTCCTTCCATCATCATAAAATGAAAGACAGGTGACACGGAGAGCGGGCGTGCGGGCGCAACAAGACGAAGGATTAGCGCTTCTTGAGAGCTGAAATCAGAACCAAGTCCTCTGCGTTTACAAAAACGCCACCTCGCGCGCTGGCGACGGTTCGTACTGGTTCGACTATCAGGCAATCGCAGATCATCAGCAGGCAATAAGAGCGCAGAACGCTGAAACTAATTTCTCTCATATCCAACGATAAATGAGGCTGCTATGAGTAAGAGGTAAATTTGCCCAAGTTTCATGGATTTATTTGAGAACAATTTAGCGCCGCCCGACCAAGGTCTTGGCGGACAGGATGGAATCTCTTCGCGGGCCTCATCCGTCCCGCGGGCAGTAGGTTGCTGACCACTGCACCAGACGAATGCGAATAGGATTTATTGCAGTTCTGGGCCTTCCTGAACTCTCTTCAGCGAAGACGTTCACGCGATCACCAGCAAAATCTTTTCAGTTCTAAACTGCTTTTGCTTGACGCTGTCATTAAGCGAGAACTAAATGCTTAGTTGGCATGCTGCTCAACGACCAAGTCGGACGTCCTTTACTACCTACAGGATAGATATCGACTTGAAAGTCGTACACATGCGGCTGAAGCATGGCTGAAGCAAAGGCAATATCCCATAGGTATATTCGGGCCGCATTTCCGCCGCAATTGCCTTGTAGATAAGATATGGGGTACGTGCTTTCTGAAGCGTCCTCGTACAAAAATCCGCTGACGCATGGCATACAACCTACTAGCACTTGGGAGAAACGCATCCTTATAAATTGCCTTTGGTGTTTAGGTAGTGTTCTACTGTACAACACGTATTCGTCTCCATTACATGTTCAGGAATAGCCAGTAACTGCAAATATAGCGAGTTATTGTAGCAAAGTATTCGTTTTTAGGTACTTGAGGCGCAAGGAGCTACACTTAGCCACAACTATTTATGGTAACTTATTCAATTTTATAGCGATAAACGAACGTAAATGATTAGACTCTGTTACAGTTTCCTCCAGTACAAGCGGGATGTCCATGTTTTCCCAATTATTAGCTTTTCATTCTGCCTTTCTGTAGCTTGCCTGCGTAGTTCTAGCCAATGCAAGGCGTGCCTTTTCGTCGCCTTCAGTGGGTAATTTCTCTCTACTAGCCATGGAGGCAGCCATTATCCGCAGCTGAGCAAACAGGCAAAAGTGAGTTTTAGCAATGCATAAATTACGACGAATTCGTAGAAAAATTCATCGTGATTCATCGTTCGTCGTGAGCCCAAAATAATTATAAAAAAATTATATTTGAGTAAATATCAACTTAGGAACTTTAGGGAAGAAAATCTGAAAACGTGCGCTAGGTGTATCAGGAAAACGTACAACGCTCCTCGCTCCTTAACGCTCGTGTATTTGCCTCATATGACTTGCCTCATCTTATGTATGATGGGCTATTATCAGAGCGGTCGGTCAAAGAGGATATACGAAGGAACATAGCGTAATAACTCTTGCCTCGATGCAAAGGTGACTAGATACAATATTAATCAGGCTTTGGGATCGTTTCTGATTTTGCTGTTTCATAGCCTGATTGAAGAAGTGCGATAGTAGCCTTATTTGTAGCCTAATTTCATTCGGTTACATTCTATCAAAAGTAGGTGCCAATGGTAACTGTGGAGTGCGGATCTGGGCAGCCAGGATGAAGGTGTACATGAACCTAGCCAAAACATCGAGCAAGTGAAGGTTCGCATTCATTTAGTCTGGGATGCCCTGACACTGTGGTTAGTCAAAAACACACTTTTACTATTTTTTTTAAACATACAAGGTAGCTTCAAAAAGTTTCCGGACTGATTTTATTTCTGCAGTTCACGGACACTTAGGAACAATTATACACAATTTCATTCAAAATACTGCCCTTGGGCAAAGACACACTCCTGCCAGCGTCGATACAGTTCCTCGAAACATTTCTGGAAGCCTCCACGTGCCACCTCCTTCAACGCCGTCTCCGAAGTCGTCTTAATTTCCTCTGCATCTTTGAGGCGGCTGCCCTTCAATCGATCTTTCATGCGTGGGAAGAAGTAAAAATCACAAGGCCCGAGATCAGGCGAGTACGGAGGGTGAGGAAGCACCACAGTTTCATGTTTGGCGAGTTGTTACTGCACGAGAAGCGACCGATACGCGGGAGCATTGTCATGATGTAGCACCCAGTTTTTGGTCGCCCACAATTCGAGACGCTTCGAACGAATTGCCACTCGCAGGCGGGCTAGCACCTCTAGGTACCTGTGCTGGTTGACTGTAGCACCTTGCGGAATGAACTCGTAATGAACAATGCCAAGCGCTGGATAATTTTTTATGCTGGTCCGTTGCTCTAAACGATCCATTTTCACACTTCGATGTGGTAACACACTGTGCTCTACTATCGCGACCTTCACGTAATCTAGGCAAACGGGAACTGAACAGTGCCAGTGTCTGTGAGTGAGAGGCAGGAATGTCTCAACATGCTTCCGCATGCGTCATGCTACCAGCCACAGCAGCACTACTATAGGCTGAGTTCGGAAACTTTTTGAAGGTACCTTGTATTAATTAACATATTGACAAATTATTTTTAACTTCAGTTATTTTTGGGTTGAAGTTACATCCTTCCGATCGTGCAAGAGACTTCTTTGCTTAAGAGATAAATTTTTAAAATTCAGCTTCGTTAAGCCTGGATTCAACTGAATGCAGAAACGATGTTTCTGTACTTTACGGAACAACGAAAGTGAAAAGTGAACATGCCTGTTGTCGCAATGAGTGCTTGCGGTGTCTCCGCCGGAGATGTAGACGTCGGCGTCACATCAGATACCATCACTCCAGATGACGTGGAGTTCATTTCAGAATACGTAGTGGTTGTGGCATTTCTTATTGTCGCATCATTCGATTGTGGGACTGCCTCAACTGCGCAAATGAATTCAAATCATTCTCAGACTCTTGACATATTTGGCATGATCAATCGCAATCACCACTTGAGCAAAAACTTCACATGGATTTAAGCTTCTAACGCCCGAACTCAAATCCTTGGCAGCTGTTATTCTCCTTAACTTTAATTATAATACAGCGGAGTCCTCCGTGCGTTTTCATTCTCAAATCGTTGTGAATGAGTGGACGTTTAACATGGCCATTAACCTTCCCATTGCCATCCATTCAAAATCACTCACGCCTGGGAGAGGAAGGTGCCAAGTCGTTATCGGTCAAGTGTTCTCACGCTTTGAAAGCAGGTGGGGAAGGACGGTATTAATAATTGGTATGGGTAATGAGGTAAATAAAAACTTTCAAATTTGCGAAATGCAGCTTCCGCGCATTTGCAATTAAAATGACTTCTAAATATGATTGATGAAGGACTAATGAAATATCACGTACATGGGCAATATAATTTTCCAACGGTGGAGCCGTCTCTTTCGAATCTCCCCCCCTCCCCAATCGATGCATTCTTTCATTCAAGCAATGAATTAAACAATGTATAATGTTAGGAGAGCGGAAGAAGGAATCATGATTCAGCGGAAACTTCTCTGCTTTTGAGGGAACTCCCGCCATAAACCCAATGTCAAAGAAACTTCGCGAACAATGTGTCAGGAACTCGAAGCAGAAATCCGTGCCTCCGCGTCGTAACGCGCATCGATCTGTTCCAAGGTTCTCGGTTGGTGTCCAGTGGCGGATACAGAAATATCTCATAGGGGGGCGCCTCTCGATACGACCGACCCCCCCCCCCTTCGTTTCCACCAGGTCCCTGACTGCAGGGTTTTCCATTTTTATCCACAGTAAAACCTTCAGATCACGAACTCTATTTTTAAATACAACGAAAATGAATAGAAATAGCTTGAAAACGGGGTTAAATGCATCTTTGTTATTGAAAACAAAACCAGAATACAGATTGATCTCGAGGTATAAAAGTTCCACTCGTTTCCAGTCGTTTTTAACCACTATAACTCAAAATCTAGTCGCCGCTTTCGTGATCGGGCGAATTCTGTTATCACAGAATTGATGGAAACATCCACATCGCGATGAAGATGCAAAAGAGCGAGTCCTGTCAGACGTTCCTCCCTCATTCTTGTCCTCAACCATGATTTCAGCTGCTTCAAACAGCTGAAACTGCGCTCTGCTGAGGCGACAGTCACAGGGGCAGTGCAAAGCACTGATAGGAGAGAAAACACAGACGGGAAACAAGTTTTGCTGCAGGCGGCCAAAGCTTCCAAGGCTGTCTTGGGTGGTTCTGATGCATGTAACCACTTCTCTCGCCAAGAGCGAACTTCTGAGTACAGCATCCTCACAGCGGCTTCACGTCCGATTGGAGTC